GCTCCACGTGGCCGGGTACGTTTTTACCGTGCCTATTACAGTCGGGTACGATATGATGATGATGATGCCCATAGAGGCGTATGTTTTAAAAGTTTATGTATATATACATATGTATCACGCATTTCATGTCAGTAGAGGTACCCAGATGTTACAGGTTGTTTATTCTCTATCCCTGCTACATTACTGTTCGTACTTATGGTTCCCTGCCTTACATACTCAGTACTTTATTCGTACTGACGTCCTTTTATTTGTGGATGCTGCATGTCGTGCTGCAGGTCCTGATAGACAGGCAGGCGCAGCTCCCCCACCATAGTAGGCTGTCCAGTTCAGCGGTGATTGGCGAGATCCCTTCTTCGGACTTGCCTTGGTCTTGGTATGCATTTTTGTTATAGATATTATGGGTATGTCGGGGCCCTGTTCCGGCTATGTTGCAACACTTATGTTCCTTTAGAGGCTCATAGACAGGTGTCGACTCATGTATAGTTTGGTAGGCCTTGTCGGCTGGTTTTTGTTGTATAGTCTCTCATGGTAGTGTGGTAGCTCGTACCTTATATATAGTTTCTTGATTGTCTAGTCATCCCATGTTATGTATGTTCATGCCATCATATTTTATTGTTGGTTGTCCATGACCCATGTCTACCATTTATATTGATCTCGTCAGCCCTAAAAGATAATAAAGAAGGTTAGATAAAATGTATGTTGGTACTCGGTAAGTATGGCCGGGTGCTAGTCATGGCCCTCCAGATTGGGTCGTGACAAACTTGGTATCAGAGCAAGTCTGTCTTAAGGATTGTCTATGAGCCGTGTCTAGTAGAGTCTTGATTATGGATGTGTAGCGCGCCACATTTATAATCAGGAGGCTACATGACATCTAGGGTTGTTACCTTCTTCCTGAATCTAGATCGTGCGTAGAGTTGAGTCGTAAGTGTTCATCTTTAATATTCACCTTGTTTTCTTTCAGCGATGCCTTCGACTAGGAAGCAAACAATTAGTAGACGGCTTGATACAGCTGCGGGAGAGGGTACCGGTCAGGTGCCCCAAGCCAGAGCGGGCCAAAGTGAGGCTCAGAGTGAGATGCCGTCTCATACCTCATCTACTCCGTCTCCTCCAGAGGATATTAGGAGGAACCCAGCACCTCCAGTTCCTCCGTCTGGCACTACAGACCAGGATATGCGGAGTGCTTTGCAGTTATTGACTAGCTTGGTAGCTGCTCAGGCTCAGAGGCAGAATACAGGTGCTGCTGATAAACCAGTTAGTACGAGAGTTCGTGATTTTATTAATTTAGACCCTCCTGTGTTTACCGGATCAGATCCGAAGGAGGACCCACAGACTTTTATTGATCAGGTTCATCGTACACTGCGGGTTATGCATACTAGTGATACAGAGGCAGTAGAGTTGGCTTCTTATCGGCTACGGGATTTAGCGGTTCTCTGGTATGATAGTTGGGAGAGATCCAGGGGTCCGAACGCTCCTCCAGCTGTGTGGAAGGAATTTTCTGAGGCCTTTCTTCGTCACTACTTGCCAGTTGAGATACGACAAGCTAGAGCTAATAAGTTCTTGAACCTTAGACAAGGTAATATGAGTGTGCGAGAGTATGGTATGCAGTTTGATTCTTTAGCAAGGTATGCTCCCCATATGGTAGCAGAGATGAGTGATAGGGTGCATCTGTTCGTGAACGGGTTGGGACCACATCTGATAAATGAGTGCACGACAACGTCCTTGGTGGAGGGCATGGATATTTCTCGTATTCAGGCTTATGCCCAGACCCTAGAGGATCGTAAGCGCCAGCAAAGGGCAGATAGGGAGCAGGATAGGGGCCAGCATAAGCGGGCGAGATTTGCAGGGTATTCTGATGACTTCAGAGGCAATGTCAGGCCCCAGTCTTCGAGGAGTTCGGCGCCATCTGTAGCTAGTGCTCCTCCACAATTCCAGAGGCCTCGATATGATCTATTTACCTATTCAGGTCCAGGTCAGAGTTCGCGGGCATCAGGCTCGCAATATCACAGAGACACCAATCAGACGAGACCCCTAACACCACGTTGTGATCAGTGCGGTAAGGCCCACTTTGGACTGTGCCGTCGAGGTTCTGATGCGTGCTATTCTTGCGGACAACCTGGCCATATGATACGGGATTGTCCTAACAGAGGAGTTGGTGGTATGGCTCAGCCGACTGGATCTGTGTCTGGTTCTTCCTCATCAATTCGACCTCCAGCACGGGGTTTTCAGCAGTCGACAGGTCGAGGTAGAGGTAGAGGTGCAGTGCAGAGTTCGAGTGGTGCTCAAAATCGAACCGGAGAGGCTCCTACAGCCCAAGCGCTATATCGAGCCACCTGGTGGCATAAATCAATCAGGCCCTCGACCTCTCATAATCATAAATCAGTAATAACATGCTGTGGCGCGCAACCCGATCCCATAATATCCTCACAAAAATAGGCCCTCGGCCTCACTCAGTCAGAAACCTCTCAAGCCACTCAGGATATTAGTAAAATAGGGTGCTCAGCCCAAAATATCATTTTATGCATCAAATCGGGTAATAAAAACTAAGTTATGAAATCAGTAAACACAACATGACTAAGTATGGATCTTGAATCAAAACAGTGAGCGGATAATAAGAAAAGACCTCTAAGGTCCAAACAACTTTGGCACAAGGCCCAAAATATCGCGTGCAACCCAATTATAGTAGTTCCTTCTAAAACACATAAGTATCAAATAGTTTTCAGTCAAATACGCAACTTAACAGTTGCTACGGGACGGACCAAGTCACAATCCCCGACGGTGCACACCCACACGCTCATCACCTAGCATGTGCATCACCTCACAATAGTGAAACGATGCAAAAGCCAGGGTTTCATACCCTCAGGACAAGACTTACAATCATTACTTACCTCAAGTCGTTCAAATCCCTACTCCGCGATGCCCTTTCCTCTGGAATCGACCTCCGAACGTCCGGAGTCAGACCAAAAGCAATACAATGCAATCAATGTAGGTCAATGCACCAATTCCATGCGAAAAATTATCAAATTATACCAAAATCCCGAAATTCACCCAAACCCGGCCCCCGGGCCCACGTCTCGGAATCCGACAAAAATCACAAAACTAGAAACTCCTTTCACTCACGAGTCTATATATACCAAAATCATCAAAATCCGACATCAAATGATCCCTCAAATTCTAAAATTAAACTCTCCAATTTCCAAGCCCTAACTCCTCAATTTCACCCTAATTTATACAAATTTCATGCTTAAACAACTTAAAATTACCATAATCACAAGTATTGAGCTCAAGTAACTTACCTCAATGAGTATTCCCTTGATTCCCTCTTCAAAACCCTCCAAAGACCTCAAAATCCAAAAAAAATGGTGGAAATAACTCAAATTTCGCGAAGGGTCCAATTTATACCTTATACCCAGGCATTTCCGCACCTGCGACCCTTTTATCGCACCTGCGCAACCGCTTCTGCGGTCCAAACAACCGCACTTGCTGTTTTCACTTAAAAATCCAAAACCGCATCTGCGCCCCAAGAACTGCACATGCGGGCCCGTATATACGTCAAACCCACCGCATCTGCGGTTCTTCTCTTGGCCCTCAATTTTCGCATCTGCGGCTTCCCCACCGCATCTGCGACCTCGCACCTGCGGTCCCCATCCGCAGGTGCGGAAACATCATAAGCAACAACTTTAGCTGCACAATCTCATTTCCAAATCCCCCGTTAACCATCCGAATTCATCCCGAGGCCCTCGGGACCTCAACCAAAAATACCAACAAGTCACATATCACCGTTCAAACTTAGTCGAACCTTCGGAATACTCAAAACAACATCAAAATACAAAATCACCCTCGGATTCAAGCCTAAGAACTTCTAAACTTCTGAATTCCGCAAACGTTGTCGAAACCTACCAAATCACATCAGAATGATCTGAAATTTTGCACACACGTCACAAATGACACTACGGACCTACTCCAATTTCCTGAATTCCATTCCGGCCTTGATATCAAAATTTTCATTGCCGGCCGAGACACGCCAAATTTTTAATTTCCCCAATTCAAGCCTAAATCTACCACGGACCTCCAAATCACATTCCGGACGCGCTCCCAAGTCCAAAATCATCTAATGGAGCTAACCGAACCATCAAAATTCCCATTCGAGATCGTTTACACATAAGTCAACATCCAATTGACTTTTCCAACTTAAACTTCTAAATAGGAGACTAAGTATCTAATTTCATACCAAAATCACTCCGGACCTGAACCAACCAACACGATACCATGAAATACAGTTGAGAAACACATAAAGAAGCAGAAATATGGCTACAGTTCACGAAACGACCGTCGTTACACCTCGTGCTAATCCTTTGAAAGCTTATATCTGAATGTTAAGCTATAAAGCATTAAAATTTACAAAGTATATAATTTTATCGTATTCATAGGAACTTATAATTTTTCTTAATCTTCATTTTTTAACTCAAGCTAATTTCCCGTAGAATTACTCTTTGAGATGGGGTATACACGCTTAATACTAGTAAAATAAAAAGTTAGTCAAAAGTATGAATTGAGTCATGAGAATAAAATAAAGTTTCTTAATATATGAATCCAAATTTATTAGCGCAATGTATATAATACCATAAAGTAAAAAAGATCATCAAAGGATGTGGTGCAGTGGATATGACTGCTCTTCCTTTAACTAGAGGTCTCGAGTTTGAGCCTTGGGTATGGAAAAATTCTTGGTAGGGAGCGCTTCCCTCCGAATGGAGCCCTACTCAATGCGAATCCGGATATAATCGGGCTGCAATGTGGGTACCGGACACCGGGTGGGAAACCAAAAAAATAAAGTAAAAAAGAAAGAAAGAAGAAATATGTGGTCAAGGTTAATTTCTAGTTCTTTCCTTTTCCTTCCGGAATAAGAATTTGGGAAAAATTAAGAACTGAAATTAAAATAAATATTAAATCACATACAATAAATTAATAAATAAAATTTAATACAGATTCTCCATATCCCCCCTTTTCCCCTATTTATAATACCAAAAGATATCTCCATTATTCATTCATCAGTTCTCTCTCTCCTCCCCGCCTCGTCTCTCTCCTGTCAGCTTCAATTCTCTCTTTATTATCTCATAAATTCTTTATTTATTTTTGCAAATCTAACCTCAATTTTATTCTGCTCTTCTTTTTGTTGTTGTTAAATATTAGGGTTTCGATCGTGCGAAGAACCGGAAGCTATAGTCGTGAAAAAATCCGCATCAATTGAGAGAATCAGTGAATCACATAATTTTAGGGCTTCGCTTGCAAAATCAGAGGCTTTGTTGGTGGTGGTGAAGTTGTATTAGAGAAAAAAAGAAAAAAAATCGATAAAGTTAGGGTTTTTATTTATTTTGTGCTAATTTATTGTATTTTTTGTTTGTTGTAGTGTATCGCAATTTAATGAGAATTGGTGTGAAGTGTAATACTGATAAATTTCCTTCTTTTTTCAGTTTTGATTTTACCTTTTTTTTTATTTCCCCAGTTACATTCAATTGTTGTAGTGGATTATTCAGAAAAAAAAGAGGAACACTTTGTTATTGAAGGTTAATTTTGTTATTATATGCAAAAAAGAAAAAAAAAAGATAAAAGCTTTATTGAGTTAGTATTTTCAATTGAGTAAAAAAGAAAAGGAAAAAAAAGGGAAAGTAAGTTATTTTGTGTTGTTTGTGGAAAGAGGAGGCGATATGAGTAGCACTGCATATGGAGTATCTGAACCAATTTCAACTGGTGGGCCCACTGAATTGGATATTGTTAGAAACCGCGAATTGGAAAAGGTTTGTTCTTGCTTTTTTAAGTTGTTAAATTGTTGTAGTATATGTTTGGAAAATTTGACCTGTCAATTTTTGTTGCAAATATTGGTATGAGATTTTTAAATGGAGTAATGTGGTCAGTGTGGATTCGTAATTGAGGCGTGGTTGTTGCAGTTGTTGTTATGATAGGAATTTTTTTCCTCTCGTGTTTATAATGTGTTTCTAGATTATGTACAGAGTAAATTAAGGAGTTCCCAACATTGAGTTCTTGGTAAGGTTGAATTTGCATAATTCAGAGGTTATAAATTGGGATTCTGTGTTTATGTCCATTTGTTTCTTGAACAGATTTGTAAGTTAAAAGTTGCATTATATACTTGTTAATGATACTTGAGTAGAACACATGGATTAACTCTAAAAAGATCAAAACTGTACATATTTATAAGTAAAACAATTATTGACCAATCGAGAAGGTAATTATGAGTGATTATTTGTAAAAAGAGGTGATAATAAAATATTTAAGCCAAGCACATTAAGCCATGGTTCTAACTAAATACTTGTATCAGTCGGTTATACTTGACATCAATACCCATTCAGAAGACTTATCAGCTATAACCGAGCCTAATCAAGTGTTAGTAGAAATGTTATGTATTTGCTTGCTTAATGGGATAGGTATACAGTTTTGAAGTTGAACCGGACATAACCATGCTTTGCACTTATGGCACGAGAGAGTGATTTAAAACCAGTCTAAGCAATTTTGATTTAAAATAAATCTATGTTTTTCTTCTCAATGATGAATTGTTCTTCTTTTAAATGATTAAATTAACACAGATTAATGTCCCAACGAATTGATGTCTGAGTCAAGAGAAAACAATGCTCAAACCTAAGTTGATATACGAGATTCCTGATCTCTCTCTCTATATATACTCACATATACACTCACACACACACGCACGCAGACATGCTTACACTCACACTCACATATACATGTGCTTGTGTGTGTTAGTATGTGTGAGATAGAGAGAGACACATTGTAGTTTTTACACCATATCTGACAAGGACTGCACCTTTTCATCAGTTTCTTGCAGATGCAGGCTTATATGAAAGTCATGAAGAAGCCATTAAGAGGGAAGAAGTGCTAGGGAGATTAGACCAGGTTATTCTTGTTTTGTGAATTGAGAATTCTCAGTCTACTATATCAAAGTCATTAATTACTGATTCTGGAGTAAAACAGATTGTGAAGACGTGGGTGAAAAATGTCTGTCGTGCTAAAGGCTTCAATGATGACGTGGTGCAAGAGGCAAATGCAAAAATCTTCACATTCGGGTCATATCGGTTGGGAGTATGTCTTTTTCTTCTTGTTTACACCCTTTGTTGGATTCAACTGGTAGTAATAGTCTTGGCACTTGCATTATTGGTTCGGTGTACATGTCTGTGGCTCAATATTGGAACAGCTTGAAATGAAGCACTTTTCTTTGGGGGTGGGGTGGGGGGTTGCGGTGGGGTGGGGGGCTTATTTACTTGATTGGATTTTTGGGGATTACAACTTCACAGGTTAAATGCAGTTGCATGTATGATGAATTTGTCAAATCTAATATAGTACTTGATTGTGGAGAGGGTATTTGGTCTAACTTTTCTCCAAGTTCTTGCACATCTTTTAATTTGTAACAATCTTGTGACAACCTCAATCAGCAAGAATAAATGGGTGTTGTTTCTTCCTTTCCCCATCAATTCTATAGTGTTTCCCGGCCCTTGTGTTATTTATGAACCCTGCTGGTATTGGTTTTGAAACTTGGTCTTTTTTCATCAATGTGATGCCTTAGTAAATTAGTTTTTTAAATTTGGGATGTCAAGGGGAGGGATTGTTCACTTGTTCAGTGATACTTTATAGTAGTTGGGGACCCTTTTTGAAGCGGAGTGAGTACTGCAAGGAGAAACTTTAGATAGTACACATTTTACATTTTGGTATTGTGAATATATATGTTACTTTACAGAAGAAGTGATTTAAGTCGATAAAGGACCGAAGGAGTATTTGTATATTATGTTGCTTGGCTTCAAGGACTTTGGCTTTTTCTTGTTTGTTAGATAATTTTACCATTTCACTTATAAAGTTAACTTTTTTTGATTGTCCTTAACAGGTACATGGCCCTGGTGCTGATATAGACACTCTCTGTGTAGGACCTAGACATGCGACTCGTGAAGTAGGATGACAGCTTTTTCCGTTTACATCCTTTACTTTTAGTGTTTCTCTGCTGAAGATTGATGCATGAAATATTCCTCTAACATTGCAGGACTTCTTCGGTGAACTTCATAGAATGCTTGAAGAGATGCCTGAAATACAAGAACTTCATCCTGTACCTGATGCTCATGTTCCTGTTATGAAGTTCAAGTTCAATGGGGTTTCTATAGATCTTCTTTATGCAAATGTAGCACTCTGGGTTATTCCTGAGGTATGATTCTCCTGTATGTGACTGATTACACATTTGCTTTGAGATGCACCATCCTTTGCAGTCTGGAAAATCTATCTTCTGATGTGCATTTAGCTTTGTTATATACTGCTGCGAATGATGCCTGCATATCTTCTTCATAATTGGTTGAATTGGTGAACCTAACATGGCGTTTCCCGGGTTCCACAACTTACTTTGATGCATTTACCTTTTCATTTTCCTAATTAAATTTCAAAGTAGCCAAGGAAACGTGCGATATGCTCTAAACTTAGTTGGGATAAAGTAGGTCGTGCCACATATCCTTAAGTTGCTTCTTGCATTTGGTATGGACAAAAGACAGAAGCGGAGGAAGGGAAATATGGAATTACAGCCTTTGCTGCATATTGTGGATTTTTTAGAGATAGAGGATGATTTGAAAGGAGTTTGACTCCTACTGAGAAACTGAAGGCTCAATGGTTGTTGTCTTCAGCTTTTTTGGTATAGCATGTTACTTATAGATAACATGGTTGGATCGAAAGATTTTATTATCTCCCTTCATTTTTTATTTGGATGTAAGTAGTTGCTGGTCTTTGTAAAGGGAAAGCTACCACAGTTTTGCTGTATCTTTAAGCAGCCACTTGATGCTTATTAAAGAACAATGGATGGTTTTGAAAACTTCAACTGGTCAGCTTATGAGGATATAGGTTTGGTTTAGGCTCTTAATAACAATTGAACATCTGAAAGGAGGGCCTGGTTGGGGGGTGGAGAGTGTGAATTTGTGCATAATTACTTGCTACTTCTCCTGGCTCTTGCTTGTATATGCAACTTAGCATGCTTTTTTCTGCAATTGCATGAGGACTATTTCTGGAACTCTTTACTACTTCAAGGTATCTAAAAAGAGTAGTAGATTCTTGTTTACTTTTTCTAAATCTGTAATATTGAGAGACCATTCCTAATTACTATTCAGTAACGTTAACAATTATCCATAGTGTTCATTTATCTTCTGTCCCATTGTGTGCTGATGACTATACTCTGTTTTCCTTGTGGTTTTAGAACCATCATAATTCTAATGTCGTCATCCTATTAATCTGAAATACTTTGTTATGCTGTTGAAATAAATTCTGTAATCTGTAAACTTCGGGATTTTATTCCTATTTGTCTCTTGCAGGATTTGGATGTTTCACAGGAGTCCATACTACAGAATGTGGATGAGCAGACTGTTCGTAGTCTTAATGGATGTAGAGTAACGGATCAAGTTTTGCATTTAGTACCCAATATCCAGGTTGTTGCCTCACAATCATGTAAATTGCATTTGCTTCGAAACTTTATGCTTAATCTTTCCCCACTCTTTGGTCCTGCAGAGTTTCCGCACCACACTGAGATGCATGAGACTGTGGGCAAAAAGGCGTGGAGTTTACTCAAATGTAAGCATCCAACATGACCCCTTGTACAATCTTATGTGTCCTTAAAGGTACAGTGCCTGTCATCTTGGTGAAAGTCAGTCTGCCTCTCGTAAACTTGTGTCACTTCTGTTTTGACCAGGTTACTGGATTTCTTGGCGGTATTAATTGGGCATTGCTTGTTGCTCGGATTTGCCAACTTTATCCAAATGCAGTTCCTAGCATGTTGGTCTCTCGGTTTTTTAGAGTCTACAGTTTGTGGCGCTGGCCAAACCCAGTTTTGCTGTGTCCAATAAATGAAGGATCTCTTGGGCTTGCTTATTGGGATCCTCGGAGGAATTTCAAAGATAGGCAGCATCTAATGCCGATAATAACTCCAGCATACCCCTGCATGAATTCTAGCTACAATGTTTCAACGAGTACCTTGCGTGTTATGACAGAAGAATTTCAGAGAGGGAATGAACTTTGTGAGGTATTTATGCGTGCTCAGTTTTTGTGGGGTTTATTGCTTTTTCTATTGTACTGAATGCAATCAATGTGAGCTGCCGGTTTTTTCTTCCTATTGGTTCTCCTATTGAGTTAATTTACCCCATTTAATTTCTATTATCTAAATACAGATAAAAACCAAAACTAAGATTTTGAATGTTGCTCAAGCATGTTTATTCATGGTGGGAGTACCATCTTTGGTTTAGTAGAAGCATTTTGCTCAACTGTCTTCATCACTGGATAAATCACTTGCTGCTTACTTTAGTTTCAGTGCTCCTTGTTTTCACAGCTTAATGCATGTCATAATTGCTGGCTTTTAGTAGAGTCAGATTGAAGTAGCCTGCATCCATATAGCTCCATATGATCCTGAATTTTCTTAATGGCTATGTTTACCTTATGTCTCTTTCATCTCTTTCTTACTACTAGATGCAACAAGGGAGGCATAAATTAGAGCTTTATAAGTTCATCAATCTCTCTCACTCTTATAGTCTTATTTAATATGCAAAAGACCTTTTTTAAACATACAAAGTAGGCCGTGGAAACAGCCTCTTGCAGAAATGCAGGGTAAGACGGTGTACGATAGACCCTTGTGGCCCCCGCTCATAGCGGGAGCTTAGTGCACCGGGCTGCCCTTTATACAAAGTAGACATAAAAATCCCAGATTTGATGTCTAGGGAATGCTGCAGCTTATCCGTAACACCTGAGGATAGTAGCAATTACAATTAACTTGGTGATTAAATTTATACTAATAAGCCTTGCGAGAACTTAATCTCAGCTATTGAGACAAAAATTTTGGGCTTGTTTAGCCTTAATGTTTTAGAGCCTGTTTGGATGGGCTTGTTTTAAGTGACTTTTAAGCCAAAAGTCATAAGTTAGGAATTCTAGCTTTTTGGCTTTTGGCTTGTTTTTTGTCATTTTAGCTTAAAAACAAGTGCTTAAAAGCACTTTTTTTACTTTATCCAAACACTACAAAATGGCTTAAAAGCTATTTTGACTTAAAAGCACTTAAAATAAGCCAATCCAAATGGGCTCTTTGTCCTGATTCATTGTTGACGTTTAAGCATTCAACTGTAGTCTCTAGTGCATGGTGCAATCTAGGAAGGAAGACATTTTCACCATAAGAAATTGTTTCTTCCTAGATTGTTCCGTATTTATTAGATTTCTAGGGATTGAGCATGCTCTCACCTCCAGAAGTTTTTAAACTGCCCTTCCTATATATATATATATAAGATAATAACTAGGGTCTTATTGAAGGTTAAAAACTCCGTTGTCAACAAAAGATTACTTCATCGTTGGGTTATCACCGAATTTCATTCAAGTTTTTGCTCATAGAATTGATGTTGCTTCTTCCATAATTTAGGTTCCTGCTTAACTTCGCCACCCCCCCCCCCNNTTACGTCTCTAGAATAGTAGAGTTGTGTCTTCCTCTACTTAAGTTTACGTTACGTCGTACTTACGTCTACCCCACCCCCCCACCCCCCCCCTAACCTAAAAAAAAAAAAGAACCCCAAACTCAGCGAGTGAGAGAGCAAGGGAGAGGGTGTGTGGACTATGCTGATGTCATTGCTAAATTACGATTTCTGTAGGATCGAAGGCTAGGTAATTTATTTCCTCTTTGTGTGTAGTTGCTCTTAAATGTTTGTTTTGGCGGTTCAAGCATGCGTATATAGTGAATTTTGTGCTCATGGTTAAGATACTTGGTTCTCTCCCTAATTTCTTTTGAGACTTCTTCATTGTGTTGTTGCGGCACCAATGCTCTGCAGTCATGACTTTTATTCTAATCCTATTGCTTTTATCTTCCAGTTTGTTATTCCTATTTTCATCAATTGAGATCTTCTTTCCCTGACTCATTTTTTTTGCATAGGCAATAGAAGCTAACAAAGCTAGCTGGCAAAGTCTTTGTGAGCCTTTCGCTTTTTTTGAAGCCTATAGAAACTATTTGCGGATAGACATAGCTGCAGAAAGTGAGGATGACATGAGGAAATGGAAAGGCTGGGTTGAATCTAGGATACGCCTGCTTACTCTAAAGGTGATGTTTCTTTTCTTCTGCTTCACATTTTGATGACTTCGTCTCTATTGCTTCGCCAAAGGCACTGAATTAATGAAGTTTCCATGCTCTATTCATCCAGATTGAGAGAGACACTGCTGGTGTACTTCAATGCCATCCACATCCGGGTGAATTTTCAGATAAATCTAAGCCGTTTCACCATTCTTATTTTATGGGATTACGTAGAAAACAAGGTACAAATCCTCAACAAGGTGAACAATTTGATATAAGGTTGACAGTTGAGGATTTTAAGCGAGATGTATATGCATATTCTTTTTGGACATCTAGCATGTGGATTCATGTGTGTCATGTCAGACGAAAAGACCTTCCTAACTTTGTCTTCCCTGGAGGAGTGCGTCCTGCTCAGCCTGCAAGAAGTGAAAGTCGTTCAGTTTCAAAGTCACTTGGTTCTTCTAAGGCAACATCTGTAGATGCTGCTTTTAGCAGAAAGAGAAAGCACGACGAAGTTAATACAGGTTTTACCTCAAAAGAGTCTTGCCTGGCCATGAGTAGCAGTGATGCCAGCTCACCAGGTGAAACTAGAGAGTTGAAGCAATTTGAAGCTGATATTGGTGATACCTTGAATAGTGGTGGGCGTGTTGATAGCCAAATTGAAGTTTCTGTCAAAAGCACGTTGCCTGTGCCTTCATCATGTGCAGCTGTAACAGAGACAATAGCAGTCAAGCAATCAGCAGAACCGACTGTGGGCCATCAAAGTGGATCTCATGGTTTTGAAGATCCTGGGGATGAACTTGAATTGACAAATGGAGTCAAGCCTTCTGATGGGGCTAATGAACTGCAGATGGAGCCCCCAACAGCAGAGGAAATGGTTGAGGCAACAACATCAGAGGAAAAGGACGGAATTGGTGGCTCTAGCCATAAGGTCCTACAAAGCGAGGGCTTGGAAGAACTTGAGGTTGTCTTCAAACTTCATACACTTATTTTCTTTAATGCAGAATATATCGAATATGTCTATTGAGATCCTGATTTTGTGCACCCTCAGTCTGTCCATCTGCAGTTGCATCATACAAATCTCCTTAATCTTTTTCTTTTTCTCAGCTTTTGTGTTCGAGACTTTTTTGGATAGATAATGTATGATACCGAGACTAACATCGTGGACCTTGGAATTTAACAGAACAGTTTATTAAACTAGTTAATTGTGCTTTTCATTGATGTCTTTGGTGTATGTCTTGTACCGCAATTGAAGGTTCTAACACAAACTGCCATGTTAGAGAAAGCATCTGATTCTTATTGGCCCTAAATTATGAGTAGTCTTTATGGAGTTCATTTTAAATATGACAGCATTTTGTGGTTAGTTACTTGTTGCAACAAAAAAGTGAACCAGTCTTTATGTGGAGCATGGAATATACCAGAAGGCCACTTTCCTTATTTGTTTTTTCCAGTTCGTTCCCATTTTTTTAGCTCCAAGCTCTTTGTAAAATTTGGTGCTTGTTGCCGTCAGATGTTTAATTGTTGATGAGAATTGGGATAAAAAGTGCAATTTTGCAAGGTGCTGTGATAATTTGATAGTCCAATGTAACTCGTCAATATATATTTTTTTTTGGTGAGTCCATTTTGTCATCGCCCTTATATGTTATGTCAGAGAAATAGAGGGAATAAGAATGGTCATTTTAAGAATCTTACCAAAATATCTTTTGCATTGCTTTCTGTTCAAATCTTCCTTTGGATTTCCCTGAGAAAACTTTGTTAGTGTCTGCAATATTTGTACATTTTGTTGCTAGTTGTTGTCTGAATTTTATAATTTGATAGTATCTAAGACACGTAATGTTGCATGTTGGTGTGACCGGAAACATTAGACAAATGTAAAAGCTTGACATGTTCCAAGTTGCTTTTTTGAATGATACTCTTGTATGCAAAATTCTGTATCCAATACTGTTAGACAGAAACACTGACGAAAATCTAATCTTTTTGCTTCTTTCTCTTGCCCCTGAAAGCCGCTTGAGCTAGCTGCACCGTCATCCAGCCTTGCATCTGATGCATTTGTGGTTCCTCAGAAGCCTCTCATTAGGTATTGTATCTACTCTGCCAAATTGAATGAGTTAACTTTTCTAGAGGCACTTTTTGATCGGTGACATGCACTTCTTGCAGGTTTAATTTTACTTCTTTGCGGAAAACAACTGAAAGTACATGAAGAAATGTGCAGTGACCACATCTGGAGATTGAAGTATATCGGAAACCTTTTTATAGAAAGCATCAGAGATGATATTTTTAATGAAGAAGACGCGGGAGAAAAAAATGGAATAAAGACAAAAAGCAGAGCTAAAATCCATTTTTGGCTGGAGGTGCGAGTACATCTTGCAATTTCTTAGGCTGAGCCATGATTTCTAAAGCAAAAAAGGAGAAAAAGAAAAAAGAACTGAATCCAATTTTGACTGGAATTGGTATTTCTTGTAAATTATCAGTTGTTTGGAGACATCCTCAAGTGCCTTTTGGGTGCTGATTGTAAATTATATGGATAATATCTAAATAATGTGTACTCGAATACTATGTTTTGTGTATTTAAGTTTGGAAAATTTAAAATGTGGATTTGCTTGTTCTACACATTGTTTGGTGAGTCCCAAATGTGTACTTTTGTCTAAATATTCGAATAATGTGTTTGTTATGTGAATATTTCATTTATTTGAACATCAGTGTCTACAAATGCGATTTACATGCGTCCATTATAAACTCAAAGCTCGATCGTAAAATCTCTTATTGAACATAATTCTTTGGAGGTCATTTTGCGGTCCATTGTGCGAACGCATAATCATTTTGCAGGCCGAACTTATATTGCGGAACCAGCATGAGAAAATTCCGGAGGGTGAACTCGAAATCTCTTATCGACATAAAGGAATTCTCTCGATTCCATTACAACCCTTAATTGTGATCATGGTTGTTTATCTTCAGTGTCTCTCGTCTTACTAGATGAGGAATGCCCGTATACCGGCCCAACATTTTGTAGTCTTAAAATTACACATCCAAATTGGTTTCGCAAGTATTTTAACAGTAGGAACAATCGGCTACTTGATGAAAGTTAAGAGATTTCGAGTTCACCCTCCGGAAAGTGAAAAAAAAAATTATAGTTTTACTTCATGTCTTGTATACAACAAAATCAAGAGAAAGTTTTAGTACAATAAACAAAGAGAACTTCCAATGGGACTTGCATCCCTAAAGAGACAATTTACTATTTCAAACAAAGAGAACCAAAAGCACTAAACATATATTAACATGATATAAATTGTAGCAATTCAATATAGCAGTTCAAATTATATTTTATTATAACTCGTTAAAATGATTTTAACTGGTGATAAAATAATAAATATTTGATAAAAGTCGATATAAATTATAGGGATTTTAGTTTTGTTTCTTAATTGAGGAGATAAGAGAAATGTTATTATTTTTCTATAGACTTATCATATGTTAATTTTCATAATGAAACAATATAAAATTATAGTAAATAATGTTTTAAGACAATTTATTGACAATTGAAAACTTATCATGGAAGAATGGAGTTCAAACCATATAGATTAAATTTTCACATCAACTAAGCATATAAGACATAGCCTGCTAATACAGTATGGATAAACCCCATCACTTAAATTAACTTTTGAGGTTTAACAAACTATTGAATATGATTTTTTTTTAGTTTGAAATCGCTTTCAAACAGTGTGGATGGATGAAAATCTTTTAATTTTAATTTTTAAATTGCTTTAAAACTGTATGGGTAAATATAAAAATCTTGTAAATATTTATCGATATTTCTTTTTGTTGCTCTATTATTTAAAAGATAATTTTAGTTTCTATGTGGAAACTTCTAGTTGACTAAACCAAAATTAATAATTTAACCAAATGAGAAAAGGAACGTTCCAATGAGTATTTGCTTGCAATACTCTCCGCAAAAGTAGCCTAATCAATAGTACATTTAAAGGAGTATTGTGTTCAGGGAAATGTGGGGTCCACGTATATCAATGACATTTTGTATTTTAGAAATGAAAACAATGCATGAATTCTTCTGAAATGACATATATACCCTTGGTTGACCATCTTTCCTTTTCTATATAATAAATAGATCTTAAATGGAGTAACATGTTGCTACTTATGCGATAAGGAGATTCGCTATCTTAGAACAGTTAGAGTTACTACCGTCATTTATCGGGATTTTCATTCAAAACTTATAACACTTCTCCTTCCGACCTTCCGGTACTGGTCAAGTGTCAGACTTTATGTCTAATTTAGGTAGGTAAAGTTTAGGTGTTTGAGTTCAATGGACCTGTCAATTTGCATTAGGTATTTATACAATTTCGTACACTTGGCCTTTTGATTACTCATCTTTAAGTTTTTGTCCTGAGCAGAAACAAACAAATTTGTTATAATGCAAACATAACTTGTAGTAATAATCAATCAATTTTCCAATGTTGAAGTTTCTTTCATTTTTCCTCTCAATTTCTTTCAACTTAGGTGTCGTCTGAACATAAAATAATTTTAAATGTTGCACTTTGAAAGTTACCTGGACCAAATATTCTGGAATTTTTCCGATACCTGTATTGGAGTCCGACTAAATTCAGATTCGCGTCAGAAAAGTTCACATTGGAGGTAAACGTACCCATAACAAAGGCGAAGTTTCGAATCCGAGGTCCAATTATTATCAATAAAGAGTTGTATCACAAGTTGCAGTTCTATACTTCTATCATCTATGTGATAATAACAATGACTGATATATTTTTCGTTTCTATTTGATTTAACACTTTTACACATATAATTGAAAGTGATTGATATTTTGGTAGAGGATATTCCACAAGCCTTTTCAAGGTCAAATTTGATTATTATGGGTGAAATTCAAAAAATAGCCAGATTTATAAATGGTAATTGAAAAATAGTCACAGTTTCAAAAGTAATCGGAATTTAACCACTTTTTATGTAAAGATAAATCTGAACGAAAACACTGTTCAAAATCCAGAAAATATTCCAGCATAATATACTGGAGTTCGAATTTTTTACATGTGAACTTCTAGCATAATATACTGGAGTTCCAGCATAATATATTGGTCCAGCATAATATGCTGGAAGTTCATACACAGGTGCATCAATCTCCAGTATATTATGTTGGAACTTTTCGTGTTGCAGCAAAATAGTGGCTATTTTTCAATGACTTTGCAAACGCTGGCTATTTTCAATTACCAGTCCGAAAACTGACTAGCCCGTGCTATTTTCACAATTATTATACGTAATCTTTGAGTTATCTTCTTAATGGTGTGTTGTGGTTATCGTCTTATATTGTTCTTTACTTTTATTTATTTATTCTTAATTTTCTACAATTATTGAGTCTTTTAAAGCTTGAACAATAAATTTTGTGATTACTTTTGTTGTTTCATGTGCTTCAGCAAGTAAAAAAATAGCTATGCCTACCTACCACTGTCTTCTCCTCTTATAGTAAGTATATAATAAAGTCAAATTGCCATTATGATGTGATTATAAGAAAATTAACCTTAGTCACAGCACAATTTGTGGATCATTATACAAGTGTATGCCAGTTAACTTTTACTTATAAAATCTAAGTTATATATACCGATAATGTTACGATTATTGTACTATCCGTAAATTTTAACTCTACTTCCCCGGACCCCGTGCATAGCGGGAGCTTAGTACACCAGGCTGTCCCTGTAAATTTTAACTCGTAAGTTTAACATGTGATAGCATAAAATTACAACAACAATAACTACCCAGTAAAATCCTACAAAGTGGGGTCTGGGGAGGGTAATGTGTACCCAGATCTTACCCCTACCCCGATAGGGCAGAGAGGCTATTTCCGCTAAACCCTCGGTTCAGAAAGACGGAAATAAAAAAATAAAAATAAAAACAGGAAAAGACAATTCATTAGTAACTCCAGTAAAAACTGTGAATATGATAGCATAAAATTAATTATTTTTAATAAATAATACCTAATAAGTAATCTGATTGCGTAAATAATTCTTATACCACCGCTGCGTATAACTTAAGCTCTTATATATAATAGTCCACAATAGTGAGAGAAGTAAAATAACAATCATCTTCTAAATTAATTATTTATTGGCCTAATCATCAAGTGTGGAATGATTTAATTAGAGAATAAATTGCAATCATCTTCTAAATCACTATCATTGTCATTGTCATTGTCATTTTCATTATCACCTCTAATTGAAATCTATCAGATTCCAATTTAACAATTGAAGTTATCAAATCAAATTCTGATTAATCAAAAGGTTAAGTGGAACAGAAAGTGATTAGCAAGCCATTTACAATTATTAAATTATAATATTAGAGTGTCTTTGCTGGCAAATTTTCAAACAAATTCTAAGAACATTCTTGAACATTCAAAATTTGCGTAGGCTTTTTCCCCTCCCTAACTGCTAAATATCATCGAGTTTAAGCTCTGTGCACTAATATTATAGGAAAAATGACACTGTATAGCTGCCGTAAGAATAATAGTCGAAAAAATATAAAATTTATATATATATATATATGTATATATACATTCTGTATGTTAAGTTTTACAAGTTTTATACACTTTTTCGGCTACCAAATGTAAATAGTTTCTGGCGCGAGCTAAAAGTGATAATGCCCCAATATTATATAGAACTTTTACAATATCAATTATTTTAAAACAACATGTATTTCATAGTCTTGATATGATAATTTAAAAGACAAAATTAACTTGTTATAATCGATTAAATTGCAATTATAGCATAATAATTCTTTACTCTGGTAACATTTCTATCATGTGACCAAGAGGTCACGAGTTCGAGCCGTGAAAACAACCTCTTGTAGAAATACAGGGTAAGGCTATATATAATAAATTCTTATGGTTCGGTCCTTCCCCGAAGCCCACGCATAGCGAGAACTTAGTACAGTGAGCTGCTTTTTTTAAAGTCGAGTCTCATCATTATCCAAATTTGCAATTTAAAATTCATAGATCTTTTGCTTAATTACTTTGACTTATTTCCTTACCTGTTTTAGGAGTTTCTAGAGATAATGGTTGTTGAATCTGATATTTTTTGCTGTCCTTATGCCTAACTTTAAACAACCATATATAGCATGTTAGAACTAGGTACTAGACTTATTATAAAAAAGGTCAACTTGCTTAAGACCACTTTAATATAGTTGGTTCTGTAATAAATACCCTTTAGCCGAGTGTCTTTCGAAAACATTCTTTCTTTTCTTTAAGGTGGGATAAAATTTGCGTACACATTATTTGTTAGTAAACTGTATTTGTAAACTAATTTTGGAAAAGATAAAATAACATATAAACAAAAAATGTAAACGAAACAAAAGTTAATCCGACCCCACTGAATTCACAGTATTTCCTTAAGGAATTTAATCCCCTCCTAGTACCCAAGGTTATGAATTATTTCCTCCCAGGATAGAACGAATTACACACTGGTGTAGTGGTACTTCAAACCCCCATGTTTCAGCGAACATAAAGTTCGGTAGCAAATCACACTTACTGTTGCTTTCTTTGAAGTTAAAAGTATGCAGAAGAAAGGAGGAGAATTCAGAAAATCGTATGGAAAATCTGAGAGAGTGGATT